CAGACCCTTGTTTGTCTGTTTAATAATTTGTTATTTTATATAAATTCACTACGGTATAAAGACCAACCCTCTGCTGAACTGTCACCTTGCCGCGGTTGAGGAGATTGCGTACTGCAATGACCCTGAGAACTAAACCGAAGTTTTGAACACCACCACATTTCAACGAATAGAACGTTTCGAAGCCAAAGCATCAAATCGAAACTGAACGTATAGACAGCCTCTCAATCTAATGTTTTATCAGATTCACTCAGACCTTCTGAACGGTAACAGCCTGAAGCGTTTATGCGGTAAGATTTGAACGTTTTCTGTGTCTGTAGCCTAGCTTTTCTTAATAATAATGAAAGCTTATTAATTGTTGACCATATATATTGCATTACAAGTGTGCGTTTACCGATAAAAAAAAACAAAAGCCGTCCATTTGGCTCCCTGATTTGCATACTGCTACTACTGCTTTTTGAGCTTAAACAACGATTTAATGCAGATACGTTAGCATTTTTTTCATGGTTCTAGGTCGATTTTTTAACATTTTGAGCGAAGAGCCGTTTGGGAGCCAAATGAGCCTTCTCTTTTACGTGAACAGAGCCAAGTGCGCCGGCTCACGGAAAATACTCAGAATGTCCCATCATAGCACAGACGTCAATTCAACGGCTATACCACTTTGGTTCAACATCATTTCATTGAAATGACGTGGAAACAACGTTGATTCAACCAGTGTGTGCCCACTGCCAGTGGGTATCTATTTGCATAGTATAAGGGTGTCTATTTGCCTAGTAAAAGTGAAAGAGTCCATCATTTGCAAGCAGGTTATGTTTCATTTTGCGTATCCAACATTTTGGAGCTTTCTCCACATGTCAAGTATACTATATGGCATTTTTTTGTTTGTTTTTGTCCTCAAACCACAACCAAATTAAGTGCTAAATTCATAGGCTGAATTGTAGTTACAGAACTTCCTTCTAATTTACTTTCCCTTTAAGTGAGGTTTACTGGGATTCTACTGCAAAATGTATTCAATAACTGGTTGGTTTACTCCAGATATATTTTCCTATTGATATTACTCCCATACAAGCCAATGTCTAGGTTAGTAAAAAATGAATTTGGAAATTGCATTACAACCATCTGGGGACACAAAGGTGCAAGGCAATACACAGCCTATATCACAATAAAAAATATGTTAATCTTTTTTTAATGAATGCTTTAAAAAGTGTAAAACCAAAGACCAGGTGGAGTACAACGAGTGTGCTAAATAAACAATTGAAGAGGGGGATACTGCACATTTGTCCCTAGATTATTGCATGCATTTTTGTATCTGTAGCCCTATTTCATGCATCTTTCCATAAAAGGTCCCTCCAGTAGCCTTCACTAGGTAGACAAAAAAAATCCCTTATTCTCCCATTGCAGCTGTTTATTCCTTTGGGCGTTCTTCAGCCGCATTGGCTCCAGAAGCAATGAGGATATTGTGGGGGGAAATAACTCCAACAGCTTTAGTGGCCACTTGAATTCATTTAACATTACTGTCATCTCCCACACATTGTTTCCTTAATAATAGAATGTGTTTCCTTCAGTGAATGTTATGCTCTTTTGTGTATTTGTATAATATTGCATTTGTTTGCCGAAGAAATAGTTGAAACAGACATGTTAACAATCCAGATGGGAGGTGACCAGTAGATAGCTAAATAGGGGACAGTTGCCTATGTGAGGCCCATATTCACAATGCACTTAGTTAAGACCAGTGCTTGACTTGGGATGGAAGAAGTGCAGGAGCTGTCTTTTTCCAAGTCTGTCCATTAGACTATGTTCACTGAAATCCACAAATTACATTATGCTATAGAGACCTCTGATTATTCACTGTTAACGGTTTATACACATTTTCCATTAATTCTCCACGACTTTTAACCAAATTTCCATGACTATTATTATAGTCTACATGAAAAAGTAAGCATTATTGACACTGGAAAGCTGCTGTGTCTGATCCCATGTAGACCTACCTCCTCCTGCCGTTGTGCCCTTGATCAAGGCACTTAGCCCCCCCACATAGAACTGCACTGTTAGTCACATGTTGTCAACAGGTGGTCAACCCTCCATCTGGAGAGCTCCTGGGTGTGCAGGCTTGGCTTTTTCAACATTACAACCAAATACTTTTGTCTTTATAAAATGATTCCCTCATTCTATAAATCAGGGATCAAATGGATAAGGTAGGCTACTTCAAAGCAAGGTATCTAACTAGACATGTTTATATATAAGGCTCAAATATTCATGTTTCGGGGGAGATCAATGCACAGCCAGTTATTTGTCAATTAAGGTATTCTTATAATATTTTTTAACGTTGTCGCAATTACATGGCTACTGTTTAATAGAGGGGAATCCCCGCTTTCCAACAGTGTAGATCTATTTAGGCTCTACATTGTCGGTGGAAGGGCAACAACGAAATTAATGCTTAGTTAGCTATAGTTAACTAGCGAGATAACTGCTACAAGTTATGTTTTAAATTGGTGATATAGTTAATCTGTCTGTCATTATTTTTTACAGTACCAGTCAAAAGTTTGGACACACCTACTCATTCCAGGGTTTTTCTTTATTTTTACTATTTTCTACATTGTAGAATAATAGTGAAGACATCAAAACTATGAAATAACACATATGGAATCATGTAGTAACCAAAAAAGTGTTAAACAAATCAAAATATATTTTATATTTGTCACGCCCTGACATAGAGTTCGCTAGTTGGTTTGGTCAGGGTGTGAATATCTATGTGATGTGAATATCTATGTTTGGGATTTCTATGTTGGCCGGGTGTGGTTCCCAATCAGAGGCAGCTGTCGATCGTTGTCTCTGATTGGGGATCATACTTAGGTAGCCATTTTGCCTACCTATGTTGTGGGATCTTGACTCTTGTTTGGCTTGTTTGTGTGTAGCCATTGTGAGCTTCATGTTACGTTGCTTTTGTTGTTTTGTCGTGTGTTAACTTCGTGAATAAACATGTATGCATGCCACGCTGCACCTTGGTCCAATCCTGTACTCAACGTACGTGACAATATTTGAGATTCTTCAAATAGCCACCCTTTGCCTTGATGACAGCTTTGCACACTCTTGGCATTCTCTCAACCAGCTTCATGAGGTAGTCACCTGGAATGCATTTCAATTAACAGTTGTGCCTTGTTAAAAGTTAATTTGTGGAATTTATTTCCTTCTTAATGCATTTGAGCCAGTCCGTTGTGTTGTGACAAGGTAGGGGTGGTATACAGAAGATAGCCCTATTTGGTAAAAGACCAAGTCCATATTATGGCAAAAACAGCTAAATAAGCAAAGAGGAACAACAGTCTATCATTACTTTAAGACTTGAAGGTCAGTCAATCAGGAACATTTCAAGAACTTTAAAGTTTCTTCAAGTGCAGTCGCAAAAACCATCAAGCGCTATGATGAAACTGGCTCTCATGAGGACCGCCACAGGAAAGGAAGACCCAGAGTTACCTCTGCTGCAGAGGATAAGTTCATTAGAGTTACCAGCCTCAGAATTGCAGCCCAAATAAATGCTTCACAGAGTTCAAGTAACAGACACATCTCAACATCAACTGTTCAGAGGAGACTGAGTGAATCAGGCCTTCATGGTCAAATTGCTGCAAAGAAACCACTACTAAAGGACACCAATAAGAAGAAGAGACTTGCTTGGGCCAAGAAACACGAGCAATGGACATTAGACCAGTGGAAATCTGTCCTTTGGTCCAAATTTCAGATTTTTGGTTCCAACTGCCGTGTCTTTGTGAGACGCGGAGTAGGATGATCTCCGCATGTGTGGTTCCCACCGTGAAGCATGGAGGAGGAGGTGTGATGGTGTGTCCTGAACATCTCTAAAACTAAGAGCATTGTATTTGGTACAAATCATTCCCTATGTTGTAGACCTCAGCTGAATTTGTAATGAATGGTGTGGCTGTTGAACAAGTTGAGGAGACTAAATTACTTGGCATTACCTTAGATTGTAAACTATCGTGGTCAAAACATATAGATTCAATGGTTGTAAAGATGGGGAGAGGTCTGTCTGTAATAAAGAGATGCTCTGATTTTTTGACACCACACTCCAAAAAGCAAGTTCTGCAGGCTCTAGTTTTGTCTAATCTTGATTATTGTCCAGTCGTGTGGTCCAGTGCTGCAAGGAAAGACCTAGTTAAGCTGCAGCTGGCCCAAAACAGAGCGGCACGTCTTTCTCTTCATTGTAATCAGAGGGCTGATATAAATACTATTCATGCCAGTCTCTCTTGGCTAAGAGTTGAGGATAGACTGACTGCATCACTTCTTCTTTTTATAAGAAACATTAATGTGTTGAAAATCCCAAATTGTTTGCATAGTCAATTTACACACAGCTCTGACACACACACTTACCCCACCAGACATGCCACCAGGGGTCTTTTCACGGTCCCCAAATCCAGAACAAATTCAAGAAAGCGTACAGTATTATATAGAGAAACCTGGTTTCAAAAAACAGATAAAGCAACACCTCACGGCACAACGCCGCTCCCCTATTTGACCTAGATAGTTTGTGTGTATGTATTGATATGTAGGCTACGTGTGCCTTTAAACATTTTTTTATGTAGTTCTTGTCTATTAATGTTCTGTATTATGTAATGTTTCATGTTTTGTGTGGACCCCAGGAAGAGTAGCTGCTGCTTTTGCAACAGCTAATGGGGATCCTAATAAAATAAACCCCCCAAAAAATCGGTGTGTGAATCTGGGCCAGTGATACGCTACTTTGTTTTTACAGAGGAGTGCCAGTATGGCATTCCAGACCGTTCCGGACAGTCAAGCACTGGTTAAGACATATTCAGCACTGGATTATAATTAATATCTGTCTGGTTTCTGTTAGCAACTGTTTTATGTTTATTTTCGGATGACAGTCCAGAGCCATTGTGAGTGACAGGCAGTCTATTAACCTACCTTACACAGTCTATAGACTGACCTCATACTGCTGTGATAAGTGTTGTCATTGTACATTTCTGTCTTCCTACTCAGGAATCCAAAGATGACTTCAGCTACCAGCTTGCTGTTTTTTGCGATCCATTTTGCCTGTATCAGAGCTGAAAATTCCTCTGAGAGTAAGTTGTGCCATGAATGCCATAATAATGGTTATAAAATGTTATATACAAAAATAGTTTTCAGATGATTGTTACCTTTCTCTGTGGTTTGGGAGAACTGTGTATAATTTTTTTAACCAAAATATCAATAAGATTGGTCACATGATAAAACTGACTACAATAACAGTAATTCTCTCTTGTATTAATGTCAATTTCTTTCTCTGATATTTTACTAACAGAATTTGTCAAACTGGAGTGTAAAACAGAATACCATGGGGTTTATGGTCAGCAGTCAATTGTAGAATGCATTGTCAAACCAGTGGTTGAGGATGTGACCATCATAACAGTGACCTGGAAGAGAGTGGGAGCTGCTGCTAATTTGTTGGAATACCATAAAGATAAAATGATCCCAACCCCTGGGTTTAAATTTGCTGAGCCATCCTGGAACAAGAAGAATATGAATGTGTCCTTGTTGTTGACAAATACCAAGATGGCCGACAATGGGGAGTATGAATGCGAGGTGGAAACAGATGTTGGGACTGACAAAGCTACACCCAGCCTCAGTGTCACAGGTGTGTCATAGACTGTCTACAGTGTCATTTTAGGAAAATATACACATTTTTCAACACCGGTTCATGAAAGGAGCAAACTAAACGTGAGATATTCAGCCAAGCTTGGAGTGCAATAGAAGAATAGACAACTTCTTTTTTTTTATGTGTCTCGGCTCATAGCTTATGATGCCCATACGCTGAAATCCTTTGGAAAGTTCTATTCAACTTCCATTGTTGTCACACACACACACACACACACACACACACACACACACACACACACACGTGCACACAACCATACAACCACTAAGTCTTGCATCGAGGATAGAATTGTGAAATACAGTAGAACAGGCTTTTCATTTCTAAGAAAGCACTTCCATACAGTTATGATACAAAGTTGATAAGGATGTTTATTCTGTAATATTCTCAGGGGGAGTTCAGATATATTTGTAAGTGTGTGATTGGACAGCACAGCAGGAGCGTTGTTTACTTTCTGTTTCAGAATGACAGTGCTCAAATGGTACACAGTAGTACCACGTCCACAAATAGCCTCCATAATGCCATTCTGCCCATGGCATGCAATCAGTGTTTACAAATAATGTACACAGACTCAATTAGAACATCTGAGTGATAAAAAAAGGTCATTCCAGTTTATTAAAATCACTCCTACTGTAATCTCATTCCAAGTTATAATCGTTGGATTGACGTTGAAAAGGTGCAGAGTCCGTCTAGACAATGTTTACCCGCTGACGTTGTATAACTACTGATGTACCAAATAGCACCCACATGTATAATATAATTTCCCCTTACTCTCTCTCTCTTCCAGCTAAGTACAAAACTCCAACCATGAGCTCCATCCCTGACACCAACATCCAAGAGAACACAGATGTTACCATTTTCTGCAACTCTACAGGCGGGCACCAGAAAGGGTTGATCTGGTGGTTTGATGAGTTTGGCACAAACTGCACAGAGAGTGCTGAACTGGTGGCCAAAGAGACCGACGATGGTCTGTTTAGCCTCGCCAGTAATTTCACAGTGCTGAAGGCAACATCCAGTTACACGAACTACACGTGCAAAGTGCTCAATGTCAATGGAGCCCTGGAGGGGAAGGCTTCATTTGAGATCCAGTTTGTGTCCCGAAACCTAGGTATGTTCTGCCATGGCTGCTACCTAATGGTATGAATATGTTGGTGATGTCATCCTTTGTAAAAGCAGGGCCAAGTCCAAAACCTGCCAATTTATCTCATTCCCTCATCCTGACCCTGATAATTGTAAAACAATTCAGCCTCAATCTAGTCTACTTTTAAAATCATAGATGTTTTTTACGACGTCTTTATCACATTTCTGAACGCAATAAAAGTCAGCCTTATACATTTTATTTTTGTCATTTAGCAGACGCTCTTATCCAGAGTGACTTACAGTTAGTGAGTGCATAAATTTTTCATACTGGCCCCCCGTGGGAATCGAACCCACAACCCTTGGCGTTGCAAGCGCCATGCTCTACCGACTGAGCTACACGGGGAGTGAACAACATGTCACTGAGGAGTGGAGTAGATACAAAGAATTATAACACTGCCCTAGGTCAGGCCATAACATCCTCCCGAATCTGACTGAACACCTTCCTTGAAACTCGAACAAAAGGAAAATGTTTGTCTTTGTTTGGATAAGAAACAATAGAGCGCAATAGTAATGGCGTCTTTTTGTAGGCACTAACTCCACCACGGTTCGTTGGACAAAGCCTATTGAGAAAATGAATGGAGTTTTTGTAGCGTTTTTGGATAAACGCCAAAAATAAGGTCTGTGGTAAACATAGGCTTAGGAGATCTTATACATTTTGTCCTATGAGATAATCTTCATCAGTGAACGTAACCTTTTGTGAATTTTGAAGCATTTATGTAATTTAATAATGCACATAAAGGCTTCATAATTCATAAAGGTCATGTTAACTGACTGATATTATCTCATAGAACAAAACGTATAAGACCTCCTAAACCTGTGTTAACCTCAGACCTTATTTTCGGCGTTTATCTCAAAACCGTATTCTTTCGCCTTTAATTTTTGCCATAGGAATGGCTGAATGAACCAAGGGTAACTCATTTCCGGGTTTTAGGACTACAAGCTGGCAAGCTCTATTCATGCGTGTTTCAACAGGAATCCAGAAGATCTTCAATGTTTGCTTAACCCAGTCTACTTGTCATCTGATGAGCTATAGGAAATTACTCGGTTAATCTGATCCAATAGGTCCATAGAGGGGGAAATAATGATAGTGGAGTTGTAACTACCTGCACTAGTTGCAAATTAGAGCTGATAGTCTCCAATCTGTCTCTAATGCCCCTTATCATGATTCATAAGTGCAGTCATAATACCTTCTTACCAGAACATTCTGTCTCTGCAGTTGTGTTTCTCATCTCTGGCAGCCATTTTGAATATTATTTCTGACCTGCAGTCCTCCAGCTGTTGTTCTTTAGCCTGGCTGGGAACTTTTAAAGAAAAAGGATCCATCTAATGCCAAAACTAATTGTTCTTAGCAATGGGAAGTAAAGCATCCCTTTCCTGCAGTCAATGGCCAAAAGCACCCTCTTTGGCCTCATGGGTGGAATTGTATTAATATTTAATATTTTTCATAATTTCACAATTATAAAATAAATACATATTTTTTTAAAAACAACGAAAATCCGGTGTTTCTATGTCAAACGGTTTTGTTATATTCCAGTCTTCTAGATTTGTTTAAGACTACCAATAATCTCTCTGTGTGACCCTGATTTAGCCCACTGCAGTAAAAGGTTATTAAGATGCATTTAGATTAGAACAGAGCTCAAGTCTGTGTGTCTGAAATGCCCTGATACTGAATTTGACCCAAGCATAGCTAACCTTTTTCTCTTGACTTCATATGAATTGCCTATTTATTTTGTAACTCCCAATTTTTGTCAATTTTGTCTGTCCAGGTAGTAAAGCTGATAACTTGGATTCTGTGTCCAACACCAAGTGGCTTGCCCCGGTTGTAGTCATAGGATCTCTGATCATTGGACTCCTTGCTGCGCTGCAGTTTTTTAAGAAGCGCTCCGCCCAACGTAAGTACATGAATTGTCATACTCATAAAGTAGAGACTGTTGTGTGTGTATAACTCCATAATATCATTACATGGAGCTTTGATCATGTATCTGATCATGTATCTGTTTGTCATGCTAGCTAGTGCTAGATTAACCTGTACAGAGGCCCTTCCTCTGCCAAGCCTGCATGCTCTGGCAGCCATCCATTTTGGCTTTGCATGGGGGATTACACAACCTGTAATGTTGTCTGGTAACTCAGCCAATCGTTTAGAGTAGTCAAATCAGTGGTATGTTGTGGCATACTATTAACCATGAATAACAGTATAGTTAATACTTAACACAATCCATAATGCTATTATAATATAATATACACTGAGTATACCTAACATTAGGAACACCTTCCTATTATTGAGTTGCAAACACCTTTTGCCCTCAGAACAGCCTCAATTTGTCAGGGGATGGCCTCTACAAGGTGTTGATAGAGTTCCACAGGGATGCTGGCCCATGTTGACTCCAATGCTTCCCACAGTTGTGTCAAGTTGGCTGGTTGTCCTTTGGGTGGTGGACCATTCTTGATACACACGAGAAACTGTTGAGTGTGAAAAACCCAGCAGTGTTGCAGTTCTTGACACACTCAAACCGGTGGGCCTGGCACCTACTTCCATACCCCGTTCAAAGGCACTTCAATCTTTTGTCTTGCCCATTCACCCTCTCAATGGCACACATACACAATCCATGTCTCAATTGTATCAAGGCTTAAATCTAGCTTTAACCTGTCTCCTCCCCTTCATCTACACTGATTGAAGTCGATTTAACAGGTGACATCAATAAGGGATCATAGCTTTCACCTGGATTCACCTGATTTGATCAAAATTATAACTCAACAAATTATTACATTTTCCAAGGCAAAAGCAATACTCCATAATGCATTCACATAGCCTGAGTGCCAGTCTGAGTGCCAGGCTATCATGCCAACTCCTTGTCACTCATCGTCATGCGTAAACATCTTTGTCTTGACAATTTGCTATGGAGTTGGCAAGAGTAGTACAAACAGCTATTTGACCAGGCTAGCATTCACATGCTTTTGGTTTGTGAAACTAGCCACTCAGCCTTGGACAGTAAAACTGTGAAACAGTGGCCACTCACCCGGAACACATGTCTGTCTGTTGTCACCCTTCCAAATCTCCTCACTAACCACATCCTCTCTCTGTTCCTCTTTACTGTAGCTTCAGAGGGAGATACTTTGTTTGCATTGGGCCCTTATGTCTGATATGCTGTACATACAGTGTCTGTCCTATCAGTCTAGGGCAGGTATGGGGGCCTCCAGGGGCAAACATGGGCCTGGTTTCTGGTCCCAGTCCGTCCCTGTATCTGTCCCTGTATAATATCTGATATGCTGTACACACAGTATCTATCTTAGCTATCCTATTAAACATGACTACTAGGGTGATTGAATGTAAGTCAAAGGGAAGTGTTTCATCACATGCATCACAAGTGGAGTATAAAATGGAGGCTGGATTATTACTAATTGTTTACCAAACCAGTTGGCGATGATGATGGCTCCGCTTTTGTACTGTTCTCATGGGGAAATCGTAATAATTGACTCACCCCTGTCCTAATTAAGGTAGTTTAGCTGCGTGGCTGTGGTGAAGAGAGATTATTTATTTGGGTCATACTATTATGTAATCCTGGGTGAAATATGGGCCTACCTGCACTGTGAGGGAAGACTTGCTGTCTTGACTAACTTTTCTCTTTCTGCCCAACTGTTAATTCCACTGACTTTGAGGAGCATTTGGGGTGAATATGGGCCTACTCAGTGAGGAGATCTCGCA